GAGGGACGGACGGAGGGATCTCCCCGCCCGGGGAGGGGGGGGCTGCTCCGCCGAGCCCTATGGGAATTGTAGTCCTCGACCCCCCCACCCCCACCCCCGAGGGGCGGAGCTTCTTCCCCTCCGTCCGGAGACAGAGCGAGTCAAGGAGGGCCAAGGCCAAAAGAGGGCAACCGGCGCAGGGCGGCTTCGGGCGGCGCCACGGAGCATGCGCGAAGGGACCGGCGGCGCAGGCTGCGAGGGTCGCGGCGAGCGGGTCACGTGGGTCACCGCCACGCAAGAGCGTCGCGTGCGGGAGGGGGGCCATTTCGGGAGGGGGGGCCAGTTTGTTTCCGGAAGTGCCGCCGCCGCCGCCGCCGCCGCCTCCTTGCCTGGGCCCGAAAGGAGGCGCCCGGCCCGCGTAGGCAGCCAGCCAGCCAGCCAGCAGGCCGCGAGGATGGAGATAACCCGGAGCAGTGAGTCGGGGCGGGAGTGCCCCTGGGCATGTGCAGAGTGCTTCTCCCCCGCCCCTTGCGTTGAGGGCTGGCCTGGCTTCCTTCTCCCGGGGCCACCTCAGCTTTGGCCACCCCCCCATGGGTCGGACTACAACGCCTGCCACCCCCACTCCCAGCCAGCCAGCAGGGGGATGATGGGCTTTGTCGTCTCGCCCTTGGTGTCTCCCTCCCCCCCAGCTAGGAAGAGTGGCGTTAAGGTTCCTTGGATGTGTGTGTGTGTGTGTGTGTGTGTGTGTCCCCTTGGGCCTGCCGGGCTCAATCCTGCCTCTTGCCCCCCCCTTGCCTGACAGCTACCCCCACCCCCACTTTAGTCCTGGTCCCCCCCCCTTTGTCTTAGCTGTGGCTTAGAAATGAGCAATAGGCTCTTCTCCCTTGTGTTGCTTTGTGATCAGTCAGTCCCACCCCCAACCGAGTGGCCCTGAGATATGTGGGACTACGACTTCCATCTGCCCCAGCTTTTCTTGCCAGGGGGTGGTGGGTGATGTGCGTTGCACCCCTTGTTGGCTGGGAAGGGACCATGGGAGCGTGCTGGGCCAGGAAAGACGGGGGGTGGTGGTGGTGGTTCATGGGTGTTTAAACAAGGCAGGTGGGAGGGGGCTTCAATATTCTTCCTGCTGCTGGAAGAGCAGTGCCCTTTGCCAGTTTAGGAAAATGGAGCAAAACACATTTTCATGTCAGTTTCTCTCCCTGCCCCCCGCCCCCCATGAAACTGATCAGACCTGTCCTATGAGTAAGAAACTGCCTTCACATCTGATCCTTTCTCTCCCTCTTATCTTCAGATTTTAAGGATAATCTGAGCAAAGTTTACAAAGCTATTGAGGAGGCTGACTTCTTGGCTATTGATGGAGAGTTTTCAGGTAATACAGGATTAAAGGTATATTTTGTTTGATTCTTGGTTGACATCTGATGCAAGAACTTGCGTTTGTAACCTTGGATATTTCATTTTTATGGAAAGTGTGATTTTATTTCCTTACTAAGAATTGCTAAATTAACAAGTAGAGCATAACTGAGTTACATTTTTAGGATAATATAATAAACAGGCAGGCAGCTACAAGATTGTTATAATGACATACTTTCTAATCATTTTCATAGTTACTTTTAAAGAGGATGCTAAAGAATTTTTTAAAAGAAGTATTTCAGTAGAAATTTTCAAGTGCAGTTCCATTTTCTTATCCATGTAGACGTATCTTGCAAAAAACTAACCAAATTACACATAACTTCCATGTTGCACTTAAACATTAATGAGTAATGATGTAGATTACTTTTGAAACACTATAATGAATGTCAAGAACAGATTGCAGTGGAAAAAGTAAATAAGTACAGTCACACTGCAGGAGTACTGGCAAAAGAGTATTTGCAGTGCTAAATCTTAAAGGAGATTTATGTCAATCTCCTGGATGTCAGAGAAAACAGAAACTTTCTGTGATATCTTTCAGAAAAGAGTAAAAGCAGTCTTTATTTTTTTTAAAAAATAGTTTGTATGTTAAGCCTGTGTTGCAATTTCTAATTCCAGACTGTCTTCCTTGCCTTGGGTTGACTTCCAGATGTATGTTTTTTAAAAGCGCTGTCTTATAATTATTAGGAATTAGCGATGGGCCTTCTGTTAGTGCGTTAACCAATGGCTTTGACACACCTGAAGAAAGGTATCAGAAGCTCAAAAAGGTAAAAACCTGACATTCCTTGCTGTACTATTTGTTCTGGAATTGTTTTGTGTGGATTTGCCGTCCTTCAGATTGCCCTGCTTTGCCCACTGAAGTGCTACAGAAAAATATTTATAAATAATTCGGAATTCAGTGTCTTGGAAAATCATCCTGTTTTGCGTGAAATGGAAGACTGTTGACTTTTTTTGCAACAATATCTTTCTTGTGGCTGTTGTGGGTTTTTCGGGCTCTTTGGCCATGTTCTGAACCTTCAGAACACGGTCAAAGAACCCGAAAAGCCCACAACAACCATTAGATCCCAGCCGTGAAAGCCTTCGCGAAAATATTCCTCCTTTCGTCATGAGAACTTTCACTGGGCCAGAGGGATCTCGGGAGGCCTTCAGTTGGTTGGTTCAGGGTTTAGGGTAGTTTCCGATTGCTTCTCAATGCCTGGAGCACCAGGGTGATGAACTGAGCAAAATACAAACTCAGGCTTGAGCTCTGAAAATCCAGTCATTGGTATTAATGAATAACTGCTTGTTTAGTATCTTTGCTTGTGTTTTTTTCCTCTCTAGCATTCCATGGATTTCTTACTCTTCCAGTTTGGCCTTTGCACTTTTAAATATGACCACACGGAATCTAAGTAGGTTGCCCTCTTGATTTATTTGCATCTTTAAAACTCTCTGTGCCCTTAGTAATAACATGTAGGTTGACTCACCTTACTGTCTTTTCCCCAGATATGTCACAAAATCATTTAATTTCTACATCTTCCCCAAACCTTTCAACAGAACATCACCAGATGTCAAGTTTGTCTGTCAGGTGAGTTGGAGATGAATCCTTTGGTTTCTTTTCTTCCTTTCTCTCAGTTCTGTAATAATAAATAACCTTTGAATGGGCAGAGCTGGAAGGGAACAGCCGTTTTGTGTTGTTGTTAGACTCAAGCATTGTGGGCAGCCCATCGCAAAGTTAATTCTTGTTTGTTTGTTTTTCCCTCCAGAGTTCAAGTATAGACTTTTTAGCAAACCAGGGATTTGATTTTAATAAAGTTTTTCGCAACGGTAAGCTTTGTTTTTCAGTGTCTTGTAAATAATGCTCTGATGAGCCTGGCATTTCTTGAGCTCTTGCGTGAGGTTCCGCCTCCCTGTCGGAACAGAACGCTGCTCAGAGCGCACTGTGCATTTCCGCCTGTGGAGGCAGGCGCTGCTGCTTCCTTTAAGCATCGTCTACAGCCTTCCCAGCTTGGTCTTCCACATCTCCCACCTTCCCCAGTCTGCATGATCCTCGCTGGCCATTGCAATCTAAACCATGCGGGGGTCATCTAGTCGAGGGAAGACAATCTGTCCGATCCTCCCTGTTTTATGATCTTCACCCAATTTCTCCACTCTTCTGGCCTCAGAACCTTTTCCTTTCTGCCTTTAAGGAATCCCTTATTTAAATCAAGAAGAGGAAAGGCAGCTGCGGGAGCAGTATGATGAGAAGCGCTCTCAAGCCAACGGAGTGGGGGCCTTGTCCTACGTGTCTCCCAATGCCACGAAATGCCCAGTGACGGTTCCGGAGGACCAGAAGAAGTTCATCGAAAAAGTGGTGTAAGTGGGAACCGGAGGCTCACTCCCCAGATCTCGGAAAGAGCTCCTTTCCTTAAGCTACGCCGTCTCCTGACCGAAATCAAAACCTCGGCGGTGTTTAAATGATGTCCTGATTCTAGAGGACTTTCCCTCCTTTGGGTTCAGACGGTTCTCGTGGGGAGATCAGAAGGAAAAGCCAGTGTTTGTTTCACCCCCTGTTTTCCACTCCCTTTGTCAGGGAAAGGATAGACGCTCTCTGGCAGAATGAAGACACTCCCAGTTTGCAGCTGGAGCCTTGCACGGGGTTAGTTTCTCTGAAGACTGGCAAAGGAGGGGCCGGGGGCAAACTTTAGGGCAGGTGGGGAGGGAAATGGCTGCCCCTTCCCCGGACATATGGGGCACCTTCTTTTTTTCCTTTCAGGTTTCAGAGGAAGCTGATCTATCAGACACTGAGCTGGAAGTAGGTATCCTGTTGACCTGCAGAGGAGAATAAGCCTGTCTGTTCTCAGGAGGAGGGGAAGGCCTCTCGGACGCTCCCCAGGTGGAAGGAGGTGGCATTTAGTGAAGGAGCACAGACTGCACCGTTGCAGTTGCCTGGATCGAAGGCGGGGGGCGGGGCGGGTAACTTTTCAGACGGCAGTGGCCATAACAATTCTGGGGGTGGTTGTGAAAAGAATAAAGTTTTCCCTTCTGGAAACAGCACAGAGTCCCAAATATGGCCGCACACAATTTACTGACTGCTAGGGAAAGAGGGAGGCTGGAGGAGATGATGCTTTCCTCAGGAAGCCTTCAGAGGTGCTGGTTCACCCATATCGGTCGCTTTTTGCCTGCAGGTGTGCACGGGAGGATGAAAACTCTTGTTTTGTGTGAAGCTGCAGGCAGAGCCTTAGCATCGCATATGGGCTCCCCCCCCCGAGTGGCCACGTTACTGGCATGATGTGCCCTTGAGACATTTTCCCCACTTCTGCAAACCTTTGCAAAACCAAACCCTGGCATAGGATTAGTGGTTAACCCTTATTGTTCGTGGCTCAATTACAGGTATCCCAAAGGCATCCACGTTGAAACCCTGGAGACCGAAAAGGTAGCTGGCTTTGTCCATTTGGAGTTTTTGCCTCGAAGGGGGAGGTTCCCTGGCCCTCCGGGTTCGAGCTGGCAGGTTGCTGTGTCTTGTGGCAGCAGTGCAAGGATGAGCATGACAGACCTGATCGTTACTGGGCCATGCCCAGTTTATCATTAAGCCAGCCTAACGTAAGGCGGAGCGGCAGCAGTTTGCATAGCAGCCTAGGAGGGGAAGGAACATGGCCGGCAGAGGCGAGCAAACCCGATGGCTAAGCTTTCAGACTGATTTTTTCCCCTCCCACATTTCTTTGTGTGTTAACACTACGCTGCGTTGAGAGTGTTTGTATGTCACTTTGCATCCAAGCTCCAAGGGAAAATCAATGCATGTGCTTTCTTGATTTGAAATAAGAGCATCAGGCTTAACGGGTACTTTTTTTGAAAATCAGGCCTGAATTTCAGGTTGAAAAGTAAAAGAGTGGGGCCCCCGAAGATCAGCATTTGAGTTTCCAAGTCTTCCTGGCAAATTGCTGAGGCTGAGAAAAGGCATTTCAGGAGGGGGAGAAACCCTAGAAAAGCTGAGAATGCCACCAAACCATCCTGGGATGGCAGAAAGAACAGAGTCACCTGGGCAACCCCAGAAAGCTGGGCTGGGATTCCTGGAGGACCAGATCCAGCCTCTAGTCTCTCTCCTCCGTCCGTGCCAGGTTGGAGCCCAACAAAGAGATGGTTTCATCCTCCTAATTTGATGTGGTACGGCGGTGGTGTAGTCCGCACAGCCTTGTGCTTTCCATGGCTGCTTCCTACAGTAACACATGTTTCTGCTCATCAGAAGGAAAGATACATCATCGTTAGCAAAGTGGACGAAGAGGAACGCAAGCGGCGGGAGCAGCAGAAGCAAGTGAAAGAGCAGGTGTGTGGCCGGGACTCCCCTTTCCTGCAGAGAAGGTTTGCCTTGTGGGAACTCTGGGGGATTGCGTGAAGGGGGGGGAACCTTTCTGCAAAATGCAAGAGGCCAAAACCACCTTGTGAAGAGCAGATCTCGCTGTCCTGTTGTGGTTGAGGGTCAGGGTGGTTTGTGTCAGAAACCCACCCTGAGTGTGAACGGGACCTTAATGCTTTTGCTGTAACAAATCCCTGCTTTGTTGCAGGAGGAGCTGAAGGACGCGGTGGGCTTCTCCCGAGTCGTTCACGCCCTTGCAAATTCTGTATGTTTCTTTTTCTTTCTTTCATCCTGGCCTAAACGTCACTTTAAAATCTACAGTAGGAGTTCATTGTGTATTGTGCAGATAGGATTCTGGTGGGAAATATCTGGCCAGCTGGAAGCCCCCCCCCCCCGAGGTGGCGTTTGTACCAGCCTTCCCAAGTCTAAGAACTACAAGCCTCGCCCAAAAAGCCATAAGGCTGGAAACGCCAGCCGGTGCCGATGCCCTTTGGCAACCGCTGCCTCCACCGGCAGCGAGGTTTGTTTCAACGAGTGCAAGCCTTTTTTTTCTTTGTGTGCCCGTGGTACCTGAGAGCTGTGAGATGCCACACCTCTTGGCCCAGCAGGATCGGGTTCTTTTAAAGGCCAAAACTAAAATTTTACTCACCCAAATTTCCAAACATTCTTACGCTGTCTTCCATGGTCCTCTGTTTCTTGGGGTTTCCCTGGTGGCCCGTTTTTGTAAGCTCCCTCGAAAAGGTTGATGAAAAAGTTGCCAGAAGATAAAAGTATTTTAAATAGGTGAACTGGGGTTGTTTGTGGGAAGGTGCGGCGTAGCTGAGCCCTGCATAAAATCTGGCATTTTTTTTTTTTGTCCTTCGGCTACCTGGTGGAAAAGGGGGCCTAAGGGGGCAACTGGGTGGGTGTGCTTACTCCGTGTGAGTTTGTGCGTGTGAATGTACCTGAGGTATGCATTCCTTCTCTTTCCATGGCTATCTTGCAGGGCAAGCTTGTGGTCGGTCACAACATGTTGCTAGACGTCATGCATACCATCCACCAGTTCTACTGCCCCCTCCCTGAGGTACGTGGCCTCTGTGGTCTCCCCCAGCAGGGCCAACCTGCTCTCCCGAGAATAGGGTCACTGTCTCCTACCAGAGACGAGGAGAGAGGTCTTCCGAAACTCACAAGGCTCTCCTATAAGATCAGGCAGGCTGGCTTCTCCACTTCACAGGCAAGACGCAGCTGCATGGATGTCTCTCTTCTCTGGACAGGAAATAATGGCCTGCTGCCCCCCCCTTCCCCAGTTTTTCTTGGCTCTCTCTTTGGAGAGACTCTGTGGCACCTGTTCCGTACCCTCTCGCCTGAGAACCCCAAGAGTACACTGGAGTGGCCTCGTTTATGTTTGCTGGTAATTGGAGGTAGACTACCCGTCCCCAGGAGGTTTCCACTTTGCCTTTTGCTGCCAGTAGTCACTGCTTTCATGATCCCCTTTAAGAACTTACTTAAGCTCTGCTCTGAGCCAAGCTGTGGAGCGGCGTTACAACATGTGGCATTGAATTCCACGCCGGAACCCCTCTCTCTGTTCTGAGCCTCTGACGGTCAGTTTAAGAGAGTTGCCTCAAGTTTTAGCAAAGAGGAAACACTTTTCTTTCTCCTTGTGGCCCCACCCTCCACGCTGGCCTTTATCCTGTGTCTGGCTCCTCACGGCTTCCCAAAACCTTTAAGCATCTCCCTGATATCCCAAAGGCATTTAAACACATTCTCATGTATAGTTTGGCCCTTTTCCTAGCTACCTCTTGTGTGGAATTGTCTGTAAGTTAATGGTCTGTTGAATTTTATTATTTCCTGTCCTTCCTTGTTTGGAAATAATTGAAATCCTTCACTTTTTAGGATCTCAACGAGTTTAAAGAACTAACGACGTGCGTCTTTCCGAGGTAGGCACATTGGCGGGCGGTACTCGCTGATAACCTAAAATGTCTTGCTTGAAATGGGAACTGGAGGAGACACGCTAGATCTGTAGAGCGCACACAAGCTTCGTCTTTGCTAGCTTCCATTTATTTATTTGGGGGCCATCTTCCACAGGGGGCGGACCTGCAAGCCCCCATTGGTCCAGGTCTTTAGCAGAGTTGGCGATTGGGAAATCTTTTCCCGGTGGCTGCGCTGAGTACATTCGCCCAGTGGCGTGGCCCTCCGAGGTTTTCCACACTGCCTGCTGACGCATCACCCTTTCCGTTCCACTGTCATGGGATTCCCTGGCTGTCATACAAAAATAGCTGCTGTGCACTGCACATGTGCAAAACTTATACCGAGGAACCGCCTCCTGAGGCTACCAGATTTGGTCTTCTGCCTTTTGGAGGTGGGGGGGTGCGAAGGTGTGAAGCGCAGAGACGTGCCCTCCGCCCGCTGGGCATCTTCACCCAGCCTTTGGCCTCCTAGCCGAGATCCCCTGAATCCCACGTCCTGCTCTATAGCTCTGAGGGCCAGAAACCAAAGTAAATAACCCATGGGGTTCACAAAGGGTCACCTGTGCCCCCCCCCAACAACCCAGATCCCGGGAGGGTGGGGCAACACTGTTGAGGCAACAGTAGTCGTTGTGAAAGATGGAGGCCACGTGGTCCCTCCCTGTGAGTGTTTCTGTTTTGTTTTGCTTGCAGGTTACTGGACACCAAACTGATGGCCAGCACTCAGCCCTTCAAGGTAAGGCTGCCCTGCAAGCCACGGGCGATTGTGCTTCTCCCTCGTTTGTCTTTGGGGGTGCTTTGGCCGAGGAGCTCTGGCCATGACAGTAGGGACGGTTTTGTATCCAAAATAAGGGAAGAGGCTTCCTTCACCCTTGGCGGGGTGGTGGTGATGGTGGTGAATTCTGGGAGCTGTAGTCCAGACGCTCCCCCTCTCCCGTCCTTTCCAAGCTTGCTGCCTTACTGATGCCTGTTGCTCCTGGTGCCCAGCAGGGTCGGACCCCACATGTCGGCCTGCTGGTGGGGTGGGGGAGAGGCTTCTGGGGCTTGGCAGGCACGTCTGCCTTGGGGAGAGGCCTATGTTTACACCCCTGCAAGTTTAGCTCAGGAGGATTGAAAGTTCCCTGGAGTTCCCTGGAGGGAAGGCATGGGGAACCGGCGCTTGCTCGGAAGGAGGTCGGGCTCCCTTGGGGGAATCCAGAGCTTGGAAATCCTCTTTTCCTGGAGGACGGCTCCCCAGACCGATGGTCTCGTGTCGTCTTCTGCTTTCAGGACATTATTAACAACACCTCCCTTGCAGAGCTGGAAAAGCGTCTGAAGGAGACCCCCTTCAGCCCTCCGAAAGTCGGTGAGGAAACTGCGGGCTCCCACGGCACACGGCCGGCTTTGAATAAACACGAAAGCAAGGCAGATCACCTTTGAACGGTTTCAGTGGCACTCTGGTGTTCGAGAGGCCCTGGCTGTGTGAATGTAACCCAGGCAGCAAGGACATGGAAGGGAAATCCTGGTTTTCATTTTATTGAGGCTCGGGAGGACCGAGTCCATGCCCTGTAACTCTTGGGCATCATCATCATCCTTACAAGTAGTCCGTTTGGGGCTTCTAAGCTGTACCGAAGTGGGGCTGTGATTTGAGCCCAGACCTCTTGGAAGGAAGTCTGCCAGCCTCCACATTAGTGTCTGCAGGAAGTGTCTCTGTGCTCAAGGCGAAAGCCTTTCTGGTTCTTGGGGAGACGGAACACGGCGAACTAATAGGCCTTTTCGGGTATTTAAAAAAACACACGGCATATTGCTTTCAAAGGAGAAGAAAGGCAAACCTCTGTAACCGTCTACATTTGGAGATGTTTGTTCATTCTTCAGGCCCAGCTCCCTGCCTGGCTGGAGTAAGCTGAGATAAAAACACCGTTTCTCCTTTCACAGAAAGCGCTGAAGGTTTCCCAAGTTACAACACGGCATCGGAGCAGCTTCACGAAGCCGGCTACGACGCGTATATAACCGGCCTGTGTTTCATCTCCATGGCCAACTACCTAGGTATTTCCGCCCCCTTCTCACACTCATTTGTGCTCTGTTTATGCGTCCGGGTGCTCGGCCTGCTACCTGTGTGTGTTTTCTGTCTTCCGTTCCCCAGGTTCCTTCCTCAGTCCTCCCAAAAACCACGTCTCTGCGAGGTCGAAGCTCATTGAACCGTTTTTCAACAAGTAAGTCCACCCCATTTTTATCTGTTAGCTTTTCTGCGTTGTTCCTGGATGCTCTTCTGTACAAGAGGTTGGGCTGGAACCTGTAAGAATGAGTTAGGAAAGAGCACCTCAAGAGGAGGTCTCTCGTGCCTGGTGTGAAGCGGGGAGGGGGGGGGAGAGATCAATACCAAGTGTTGATGTTGTTGTTTTTTCGTCATTTTGCTTTTGGGCTTCCAGAGCAATCCCAAAGCGTCAGGTATGCCAGCTTTCCTCCCGTTGCCCTTCGGCTGGGCCCTCTTTGGCCCTGGTCTCCCCGCTGAGTTCCTGCTGGCTCAGCTCTTAAGAGTCACGATGCCAGGGGTGGAGGATCCCGCCTTGAGTGGGAAAAAAGCCCCTGAGCTTGGTGCCCCCTTGCTCTGGCCACCTTGGGCTTGGTGTGACGCTCGCTTTCTTGACCTTTAACGATGGTTCCACGTAGCTAACCCTTGAGTGGCTGCTCACCACTTGCGCTGCAGGGAGAGGAAATGTCAGTCTCTGAAAGACATGGCGTGTTTCGGAAGGTGTTCTTCGCCGCCTCCTCTTTCCCCTCCTTTCCTTTTGGTCTTCTCTGGAACAGAATCCGTGGACACCAACATGCCCACGCCTGTCTTCCTTTCCCTTTAGATTGTTCCTGATGAGGGTGATGGATATCCCCTACCTCAACTTGGAAGGCCCTGACTGTAAGTCCTTTTTTCCCTACCTCTTAGCTTTCCCAAGCATTCGGGGGGGGGGAGGGGTTGCAGACTCCTCTTGCCCCCCCCAGGGTTGAGAGTGGCTCTTGTACTACAGCTCTGGAGGAATTATCCTCGTGGCCTGTAGGAAGCCAGGATGGCTGAAGTGCACAGCGGGCTGTGAGGCTTCTGGGGCGGATGGCAGACAGCGCAGGAGCCCCTGCAAGAGGCAGGCGGACCAAAGGCAGACCCCACCCCGCTGGCCACTTTGGAGCATACATCAGCTCCTCCAACCCAGCGTCTGTGGGGCAACACCTCTCGCCACTCCACCCGACCTGACCCTTACCTACGAGTCCTGGGAGCTGTAGGGCCAGCCTGCCAGGGTAGAGAACTTGGGTGGTGTCCCGGCTGATGGGTATCTTGGTCTAGTCGGACTAAACCGTTTTCTTGAAAACCTTTGTGGACACCCGGCCTCTGCGCCTCTCTTTGTGCCCTTTGCCAACGTGTGCCCTTGAAGAACCCGGATTGCCTGTGGCAGAAGGCTCCAGGGCTAGTAACCGTTTCTCCGTGGTCTTTGCAGTGCAGCCCAAACGCGATCATGTTCTTTACGTTACATTTCCGAAAGAATGGAAGACGAGCGACCTCTACCAGCTTTTTAGTGCTTTCGGTAAGTATCTCGCAAGGTGACCAGCCTGTGACGGCATCAGGAGACTCATAATGCTGACCCCCCCCACACACACACACACACACTTGGGTAGAACCAAGAAAATCAATAGAGGCTGTGCTGGTTTTCCTTCCCCAGGTAACATTCAGGTGTCCTGGATTGATGACACGTCGGCCTTCGTGTCCCTGAGCCAACCGGATCAAGTTCAGATCGGTGAGTTGGAAGGGACCTCCTGGTGGCAGAGCCGACGCCTAGTGGCTGCCGATGCTGATGCAGAAGTGCCCGTGGTTTGGGCTGAGGCGAGGGGGAGTCTTCCATCTGGGGCCCTTTTCAGATGCCTTTAAAAATATTTAACAGTGAGCTGGGGGCCTGTGAACTCGGCCGTTGCCTTCCTTTCCCTTGTTTGCTGGTGGTTTCCTGTAGGTGTAGCCGGAGACCGGTTTCCTGGATTAAAGGTGAGGTGGCCACCAGGCTGCTGGAGAGAGAGAGAGAGAGAGAGGGAAAGAGAGGGAAAGAGAGGCGCTCTTAAGGTCACTTCTGAGGGTTGAGGCAGCGCCAGGGCCAGCAACAGGCATCCAGGGGCAGTCATCCCGCAGGGCGGTTGTGTCAGTAAAAGTGTGAGCTAGGAAAAGTTCCGATCCTCAACTTCAGGCTTGCATGATCCTCCTGCCAGCCTGAGCAGGAGGAGCCCCCTTCGCAAGGAGGGTTTTGAAAGCTGTTAAGATGTTGCCATGAATATTTGTGTCTCTGGGGTGGACCCACAAATCAGGCTGCGGTCCTGCGCTGTCTTGGCAGCTCTTCCTCAGCGGTTGGTATCCAGCCGGGACAGGATTTGTTCTGCCAACCCTTTTCTGCTTGTCGGATTTGCAGCTGTGACATTTGCTCAACAGACGTTCACAAAATGGGGTATTATGTTTTTTAATGCTGAAACTAGGTCCCAGTGGAACTCCTTCCCACTAGATACACAAGGAAGGCTTTCTTTGTTTTTCAGAGGGTCTTAAGAAACTGGCTTTTATTTTCCTTTCGATTGAATGGTTGTGTTTCTCCTGTTACTGAACAAAGTCTTCAGATTTTAACTCTGTGTGTGTGTGTTCAACTGTCACAAGCTTATTTTAAAATCCTGTGTTTTAACTTTTAAACTCTGGTTTCATTGACATGGGCCATGGGGGTCATCCAGGGGGTTCTCTTGGGAAAAGTTGCCGTCTTGAAAACTGGGAAATAGGCTCCTGAGCCCACGTAAAACAAACAAGAGGGGCACCCCAGGGCCATCTAGTCCACCCCCTGCCAGGGCAGAAAGAGGGATGCCTTTACCTATATCAGCAGTCGACTGCTCAAAGAGCGGAAAGCGTGTACTCTTGAGCGTTCGATCTATTGCTGTGTGATCGGTTCCTGGTTTCATTCTGCCCATAGCCGTGAACACCAGCAAGTACGCAGAAAGCTACCGAATCCAGACCTATGCAGAATACGTGGAGAAGAAGCACGAGGAGAGGCAGCAGGGGAAGCGGAAGTGGGCCGAGGACAGCTGGAAGGAGACGGAGGGCAAGCGTCTGAAGACGCAGGCGGCCCCCTACGTCCTTCAGAGCCGATACTACAACGTCAACAGGTGAGGGGCTTTTCCGGGGCCCGTCTTCCTTTGCCAATTCCAGAGGTCCTTTCCTCTCCAGCCGGCGTACTGCAGTTCTCTGCCACCCACGGTTGGATTCGCACAGGTAACTTCAAGGAAGGACGACCGGTCCCACGGAAGGAGGAGTCCTACCTTTAAAAGTCAGCGGCAGAAATGCCCGGGACGTCATCGCCAGTAATTTCCCAGTGAAAGCAGAACCGCAGTTGTGCCTGTGAGGTGGCATGGAAACCCCATCCAGCCCCCAGCAGTTTCCATCGCATCCTAGAGGGGTGTCCTGTCGGGTAGCAGCCCAGGGGCCGTTGGGTCGGACCCTTCCCTTGCCAGTGGGGAGAACCCACAGCTCAAGCAGCTTGAAATCTCTTCCTTGCCTCCCGTCCGCCCTCCCCCTGGTCACCCTCTTCCCTCTGCTCCAGTTTCACAGCAACCGGCACGGTCGGGAAGAGAAGTATGAGTCCCATCCAGGAGGAGAGCGGCCTCGATGAGGCCGAGGTGGAAGAAGAAGAAGAGGAGGAGGAGGAGGGCCTGGATTCCCCGGGAACCCACACAGAGTCCCTGGGGGAGGAGAAGAAGAGAGGCAAGCGGTTCAAGAAGGCCAAAAGGGAGGACGCCGCCCCAGCAGGTAGGGGGAGCCGAGGCCCCGCTGGGGTGTGTGTGTGTTTCCCACTGGGTCTTTCTCCTGGCATGCCTTTTTGCCCGCCCTGGTGGCAGCAGGTTCCTCTGCCAGCGCTGTGGGCTGCAGGCACTGCTGAGGCTGGGCGCTGCCCCGACCCATCTCTCTGATCTTGTGGCTCTTTGACCCCCTTCCACCAGGAGACCTCCAGACCTCTCCCGCCAGGCTCTTCGAAGTCCCAGACATGTGGTAGCCCTCGGCCACACCTGCCCGGTGTCCAGCTCCGAAGGATTTGCGCTCACGCCCTGCGCCAGCCACGCTTCACCTCCGTTAAAGCGGGGCCATCGGAACGAAAAGGCAGGATGCAAACTTGGAAAGCAGTTAAATTTTTTAAACTGCCTACTGAACAATCATCATTACTGTTCCTATGTGTGTGTGTGTGCGTGCGAACACCTGTAGTCACACTGGTTTAGTTGCTCACGTGAAATCTTTTTGCTGTCGTAAATGTTAGACCAGAAAGCAAGACCTCGGATCCCCTTTATATGGCATGTAGCCTGTGAAGTTTTACGAAAAGAGCCAGAGCCACCCTTTGCTTTGCTGCTCCTTTAACAGTGAGCGGGGGGTGGCTTACGGCCCTCATCATCTTCTGTTTCTACTCGGTTAGTAAGATCATCCTTTGGACCCCTTGATTGCTCTGCCAGCCTTCCTGTAGGAAAAGCTCGGCCGGGCTGCCTGCCTAACCCGCTTCCCTTGACTTTAGAGCCGAACCCTCTCTCTCTCATTCTTCCGAAATCCATTTTCCTCCCCTCCTCAACCTCTCACCTTTTGTTTCAGATGTGTACTGGGGGAGAGGGCGTCTCCTTCTTTTCCCCTGTAACATTTGTGGGTTGTGTCGTATACTGAAAAAAGCAAGCGGAAACCTCCTTTATCAGCCCTCCTTAGTTTAAAAATAAATGAATAAATCTGCTTTGGTAGAGTTCATAAACTTGGTTGGATATTTAACATTTTTGTATCATGGAAGCGGGAATGAAATATGTATTTCCATAAAGTGAAAAATTAAAGAATTTTTTTTCTTAGAACCCAGGCTGTCTGCGTCTCTCACAAACGCCACTCGTTCGTTCATTAATTCTTTTAAGGTTGACTGGGAGAGGGTGGGGAGCGCAGAGCCAGGCTTGGTACTTCCCCCGCCAGAGGCACAGATACACTCTTGGGGCTTCTGTCTTTTTTTTTTTTTATCTCAAAAAGAAGCCCGAGATCCCGAACGCCTGAGCCATGGATCACATGGAGTTTAAGCCCGTTGAGACAGCTGGTTTCCTGTATGGCCAGGACTCATCCTGCTGACCCATGCGTCACTAGATGAAAACCTCACGGGCTTAATATCCTAACATTCAAACACCTTTGGCTGCTTCAGCTGCTTCGCTTGTTTTTATTGTAATATTGGTGGTGCTAGAGATAAAACATTATTGAAAACAGCTCCAAGGGCATTATTAGGCGGGAGGCATGTGATAAATTGGGAAAAGCGAAGAGATACATAATGATGGACGGCTTCCCCTTTTGAGGGAATGTGGCCCCTTCCAAAACATTCGCCCCCTCGTTATGCAACAAGGGCCCGATTCAGTTAATGATTAAAAAGGATCTGATCAAGAATCTCACTCCTGCTGTCCTGCAGCTTTCAGGTAGGTAAACAGGAGGTGAAAAATTAACCCCCACCCGTTCTCATGGCCTGGCTCCAGAGGAGAGTCTCGAAGAAAGAGAGTCCAAGTTTTGGCCCGCTGGAAGGCTCCCTCTGAAGAAAAAGCGCGGGGCCCACAAAGCTGCTTTGCTCCAGAAAAGGCATCTCAAGGCCCCGAATCCTCTGCCGTTTGCTTTCTTGCCCTGCAAAACGGGTGGGGTGTCCCAAAAAAATCCAGTTTTGGACCCACGGGCCCTGAGGCAGGCCACGGAGCGGCACTCTCCAAAAGCTGCAACCCATAAGTGAGGGGATAAACCCCCTCCCCATATTGCCGATTCCCCCCCCGCCCCTCCTGGAGGGCCTTGGCGTTCCCGGGGGTGGGGCAGGTCTCCCCTGGAACTATCCCCTCTCTGGCCGTACGGAGGTTCCCAAACCAGGCGACACACCTTCGGGTGGGGTGGGGGTCTTCCAGTTGGGACGGTGGCTTTTGCTCAAGAATGGTAGCCGTCCTGCCACAGCCACAGAACAATCAACCCTTTCTTCGGCAGCTCCTTCCTTCCCTGTTGAAAACCACTGAAAGTGGCAGGCCCTCGTGACATCAAGGGGAAGGAAAGCTCCCAGCTTCCACGCTCCTTCAAGGGGGAGAAATCCTGCCTTTTCTCTAACCAGGAAAGCCTCCCCACTGACAGCACGTCCCCTTAACCGCTTTCATCGCGGCCTGCCGGGAACGGCCTCCTCTCGGCCACATCCATCGGTCCTCGACGTTCTGATGCCCTCCTTAACATCACTGGCACTGTTTTCCATTACAAAATATATCTGCACTAAAGCAATGTTTACCAACATTCTCCAGAAAAAGCAAAAACAAAAAAACTGTCACCTTACATGAACTGTCACCTTCCTTCCTTCCCCTCCAATTCCCTTCCCTTCCCAAAAACACAGACCAAGCAAATTCAAAATGTTAAATTTAATAGTTTCCTTTCCCCCACTTTAAAGCCATGCTGAGTGGTTTCCATAAATCCAAAACAAAATTTAAAAATTATTTTATTTATTATTTTATTTTATTTATTTTATTTATATCCTGCCTATCTAATCAATTAAGACTACTCTAGGCGGCTTACAGTACTAAGCTGTAAAAAAATAGGGCAAAAAGGACATCAACCAAATAAAAAGGGACATAATATTAAAGAATGCAATTTTTACAAACTATTAAGGAACACACACACATTAAAAAAATCCTCCCCATCCCACAAATCACTTAAAAAGTCCTCGATGAAGAAAAAATGTCTTGTGTTGTTTCCTCTTAGACCAGCATCCCAAGGGGCACCGTCCGAGTCTCCCCGAGAAAGGACGTTCTGAATTTGGGGTGCAATCACAGAAAAGGCCCTGTTGCAGTTCATGTAAGCCTCGCCTCACCTCAGAGCCTGGAAAACTACAATTCCCAGAGCAGGCTGGCCAACACAGTGAGGGATAGTTGGCACATTCTGAGAGGTGTCATTCCCCCCCCCGACCCAAAAAAGGAACCCAGCAGGCACATCCAGTTCCATCCCTCTGTATCCGACCCGTAATCCCTCTAGAGGTTCCCCCACAAACACCTAACATTTTTCGGGGGGAGGGTGTACTTCCGTTTATTTTGAGGCAGAGATTTTTCCCCTCGTAAGGAATAATAATTGCACAATGAGTTTGCAGAAGCGCAGAAGACGGCTCCACCTATAACAGAGCGAGTCACAATATTTCACAACAAAATCTTTAGCAGGAGATGGATTTGCTCCCCCACTTGCAGATGACAACTTAAGAGCTCCTTGGGGGAAAAAGTAGCTGACTCCAGCCAAGGACAATACGATCCGACTCAGCAACGCCTTCCATATCTCGGGCCACACCTTGGAGTCTGCAAAAGAAGACAAGATAAAAACACGGTGCAGGCCTAGGGTTGCCAGGAGCCCGTCTCCCGCCACGAGATGCAGCTTCTGATTCTGAGTCATCCATCCCGTAACCTCGCCGGCCACGTTTCGACCTCCATTGAAGCAGCAACCCACGACCGACGCCGGCAAACCCGTTGCTTTCCTGATCCCTTGAAAGGAAACGTCCCGGCAGGGAGGGAGAGGCCTTGGGCCAGTCACTGCGTGGTTGAGGCAAAAGCGGACCAAAAAAAGGGAGCAGCTTTGCAACTAGCAGGTGACAAAGTGTTCTCACTCTAGAGACCCATGTGCCTGTCCAGAGCCTGGATGTCGGCACAACCCCCTTAGAATAGGAACACACAGGTCCTTGGCATGTGTTTTATTTTCAACTCCAGCATCACAACCAGCCCCTGACAGCAGACGGGGCAGCGTCCCTTATCAAGGTCCTCCCTGCGGGGGCTACGCTGTTTACTTTGTGCGCCAAAATATTTATCTGCCGGCCACAGTCAGAGCCAAACAGGACAGGGGCCCCATATCAGGACTGGGAACCCCAGCCAACGGCCCTTGGGCTTGCTTTTAATTCCCTTTCTCTTTGTAAGACGGAAACTGTGCCAAGTGGTCAAAACCCTCCTCGAGAGCTCACCGGGGTGCTTACCAAAGCGCCTTTGGGCACGCGCAGCCAGCCTTGTGGGAGCCCTCCTACGCAAACTGAGACGGCTTGCTCAAGAAGCACCCTGGGGTCTGCAAAACCTGAGCAGGGCTGCTACGGACGGACGGGGCGTTCTGAAGGCGATTCGCTCCTTGGGTTGCCCAATTACGGTACTTGGATGCAACGTCCTAGTATGGAACCAGCACCAGCACATGTTTTTAGACCGGATTGTTGCTGAAATGCGCTCCCCAGCCCCACCCCAAAATACACTCATTCCAGGAGGCTCACTAAGGGTTTGTGTTTATTTGGGAGGGGGTGTGTGAAATTATAGCTCATGGAACCCGTTGACTAACACACGTTGCCATTTACCTTCCCGATTCAGCAGATGCCGGACAGGGCTGAGAATCCCAACGCACGGGATCGCCCTAACTTGGAGGAGACATGACAGGAGGGCAGAACTAACAAGTAGAAACAAAACCCTAGAAGGCGAATCTGTTGGATGAGACTTTGGGAGGTTTAAGGTGGAAAGCTGTGCTGGGCACCCTCACCTCCATCCTTCCAGAGCCTTTTTAGGCCCGCTTGGTCCAGCCAGCCAGGAGAATCCCGCAAGAGCAACAAGGATTTTTAGGGGCATTACGGTAATTTCAGAAAGACGCATTTGCCCCCAAAAGTCCCTCATTTTCCCTGCGGTGAAGAGTGACGAGATGCGTGCGAGGGGGAAAAGGCTGGAGCATCCAGGATGGAAATCTTACCATGGCGCCCCGTCGGAGATTTGAGCCGCTTAATTTTATTTAGATACTTATGGATCCCTTTCAAGTGCCACTTTCCAGTTAAGCAATTTCTTAGTGGTTTAAAACAAAGCCAGGTGCAAAACAACGAAATGCTTCAAAGCACTAAAGACCACGGAAGAAACACCATGGAAAGAAAACAAAGCAAAAACCCAGGGGTAACTGGGGGAAGCATTAAACA